CCCCAAAACCCCAAAACCCCAAAACCCCAAAACCCCAAAACCCCTAATCATGCACTATTTATTGACGATGACATAATTTTACATAATTTAATTAGTATGGGAATAACAGAAAACACCTGAAGAAGTCAATTACGTAAAATTTACGACGTTACTACACCAAGTCAGTTTATCTGCATGATCATATCCACAGTGCTGCTGTTGTACTTCCCAACGATTATTGAATCTTCAAAGACATATACACGCTATAGACAACTTGAACGACCAGATTATGAAGTTGAATCTGTCAATGACTTTTGGGTGATAATCCCTTTGGGAATATTTCTCAGACTAGCTAAAATGTTTGTGGCTTATATAACAAAAGACTTCTTTATGAAGAAGCTCTACCATAAGTATAAGAAAGGTGATCTTACTCAAAAAGTAGATAAGTGAATCAGAGGAGCTTTCAAGGTTGTCTATTTTTCTGTTGTTTTCTACATAGGATTGTTTGAAGTATTGAACAAGACTCATTTTGGTCCAGCAATTACTTTTGGGGATGGAGATCACCGACTAGCATTAGGGAACTTCCCTTTCTCACCAATGCCTTCCATGCTGAAGTTTTACTACATGCTGAGCATGTCATATTACATTGAAGATGTAATTGTTCACTTGTTCCAGACCCCACAATTTGATTTTTGGGAAATGATTCTCCACCATATTATCGCTTTTATGTTATTATTAGATTCATATATGAATGGTTTTTGGATTTTTGGAGTTTTGATCCTACCGCAAATGGATTTTGAGGACATCTGGATTGGCCTTATTAGATGCGTCATGGATTATTCAAGCAGTGCCGTAACTATGTCAATTTATAGCGTAATTTTATTATCATGGATCTGGCTGAGGTTTATAGCTTTTGGATACGTAATGTTGTACTCTTTCTGCTTCACCTGAAGAATGAGCCTTGATAATGATACGAGAATTATTATGTTCAATAACCTGCTACTTTGGACACTTGCTGGACTCAACATTTACTGGTTCATCCTCTTAGTGAAGATGGGGCTTGGCTTCTTGTTCAAAAATAAATGAGTAGACATGCAAGCTGTACAGAACTTGGAATGTGATAAGATAAAAAGAATTCAATAGGGTTATTAAAAAAAGGGGTTTTGGGGTTTTGGGGTTTTGGGGTTTTGGGG